ACATATGCCTCTTAACAGTCCCTTGCACATCTGGAGAAGATGCAGGTGCTGCTTATTGAGATGGGAGAGGCCTTAGCTACCAACTATCCATTTTCAGCAGCATACCTGTGGTTCAGCACATATACTGTTCATCCACCCCTTCTCACAAGCACTCAATATATTACAGAGCGATCTACTCATGCTCACACTCAGGATTTCCAGATCACTATTGTTATGGGGTGGTCCAGGTATCTGGAAGAGTTACCCATCTAAATTGGATCTACAAAGACTTTTCACAGGAAAAAGCCGGTATGTCTAGGGAAATAAAGTTTATGCGAGGTCTACTGTTAACAGGCATCCACATTCCACTCCATATTACCTGCTCCAAAGCTTAGGAAACACCAGCTAGGGCAACACAGATGGTTAAAAAGAAAGCTTTTCTGTCAACTGCACCAAAATATGTGCAATAAACATTTAAAATAGCTTCTGCAAACTACACTTGATAGCTTTTTTATGGTAGTAGTTGATAGTATAGTAGTTGATACAGTAATATTAATTCCTGTAATATTAATTCCTGACCTTTAAAGCAGAAAACATTAGCAGAGCACTTTTGCAGAAGCACTTTATCACTTATTTTTATAATCCTGAAATATTCTGCTTAAAAAAAATAATCTGTAAATTTATACACAAGGGATCTATGTTGCAACAGTAACATAACTATGTATTATTTAGGAGGATTTCTGCTGGTGTTTGACATGAACGGCTCAAAGCTTACCACAACCACAGAAACTGATGAGAAACCCACTCTAGTTTAAAAAATAAAAATGGTTTCCCCAACAAAATGTTAAGTCACTAATACACTGCTTGGGCTTATACAAAGCTTATTGTCTACATGCTCTTCTGTATATTCAAAAGTTTTCCTACCTTAGGGAAACTGCTGTGACACTTTAATAGCTAAAATTAGACAAACTAGTTAGCCCTGACAAAAGAATAAAAAATGCATATTCCTTTTATTAAAAGGAGAAAGATGTATTTCCAGATCCAAAATTACATACAAAGGAAGCCTATAAAAGAGTTTGCCATTAGCATGTACAAACCACCCCAGCAGCCTCCTCTCAGGCAGCAATGAAATTTACAGAATCTTCAACAAATTTTTATATGTGCTGCTGAAATTCAAACATGCATTCTCCTGAGACAACATACACAGCTGGCCAAGTTACCAGTTAACCAGTGCGAAGTACCTAGCACTTACTCCAGAAAAGCCCACGTATGCACCATAACAAATGGAACTCCAGTTGTTGGACTACCAACTTCAAAGCAAAAGGAAAAGAAGATGGCTCACAGTGAAGAAATTCACTCTGCCAATTAAAGGGGTAACTCTTCATGTTAAGAAACTTTACCCTCCTGAAAAGTCACGTTTGATCTAAAAGTAACACAGGAAAAATGCTGATACTGGTTTTAGTTTTCTAATCTGCCAGGATCTAGTTTTCAGCTGACATTTAAGAGTAAAGCTTTCTGTAGCAACAATATTATTTTGAGAATGTTGTAGCTTTCTCTTTCAATTAAAACTCTACAGATTTTATTTACCAGTGTTTAGGTGTGTATATAGATTACTTTCTTCCTTCTGTTTTGAAATGAAGATTGTTGTAGTATCTCTAAATTTCTCAATGCATTAAAATTAAACTTCCTGTAAGTTTTATATACATGGTATTAACAAGGCAGTGTTTTCCTCATTAAAGAAAAAAGTAAATCAAATAAAGGAAAAAGATGCACTTAAGCAACTTCCATCTGTTATCTCTACTGTATCTGACTCAAGTTAGCACACCATGAAGAAATCGAACAGATAACCTCTACACTAGAAAAAAGTTGAATCGTTATGTCTATAACACTGTACACAGCTAATAAGTAGATATGCAACCTTCTGAAACCTTCCTTCTTATTGCATTACCTCCCACAATTTTAAAGGCATGCTTTCATTTTAAGCCTCATTTCTGGACTAGCATACAATATGTACCTAGGTACATTCAGGTAATAGGATAGCAAAAAGCAAAGTTCATAGTTTTCTCTTAATGGCAATGGTTTTTTTCACATAAATGGTTGAACTGTAATATTTTCAGTCCTGTAAAAACCACTGCATTTCCATCAGGAAACACACTTAATAAAAGCAAAATTGAAAAAAAACAACAAATCCCAAATAAGACAAAAATAAAAATAAAATAATTTCTATAAAGATGTGGGGGTTTTTACCCCTTTTATAAACCAGCTTCCTCTAGCAAAAGTTATGCTTTCTGCTCCCACTCTTTTCAAGGTATATATTCCACGCAGGACTTTAGTTTTCTTAGTTTCTTAAAAATAACAGTGTGTCAGTCCCCAGGTACATATATGGTGAACTTCAAAAAAATCACAGCACAATTATAGACTCACAGAATACCTCAAGTTGAAAGGGACCCATCATGAAGTTCAACTTCCTGCTACTCACAGGACTACTTAACACTAACCCGTATGACTAAGATCATCATCCAGATGCTCCTTTAACTCCGACAGGCTTGATGTCATGCCCACTTCCCCAGGGAGCCTGTCCCAGTGACTGACCACTGTCTCAGTGGAGACCCTTTCCCTAATGTCTGATTTGAACTTCCTCTGAAGCAAGCTTCATTTCAGTTCCTATTGCTGGTCACCACAGAGAGGAGATCAGCACTTGCACCTCCACTGTCCCCCTGGTGGAAGTTACAGACTGTGATGAGTCAGCCCTCAGCCTTTTCTTCTCCAAGCTAACAAACCAAGTGACCTTAGTCATGCCTTGTAAGTCATGCCTTAGAAACTTTTCACTGTCTTGGTCACTCTTCTCTGGACACATTCTAATAGTGTGGTATCTTATATCAAGGTGCATACAGTTCTTGAGGTGGGGCCACACCAGTCCAGTGTAGTGTGTGCTTGATGCACCCTATGACACAGTTGGCTCTTTTGGCTGCCAGGGCACACTGCTGACTCACCTTCAACTGACCATCAACCCAAATCCTCAGATCTCTTTCCATGGGGCTGCTCTCCAGCCTCTCATGCCCCAATTTGTACGTATAAGATTTACGCCATCCTTATGCTGAGGTTTCTTTAAAAAACAGGTGTCAAGATAGGAATTACCATTTTCTTTTCTTCACCTATTTTGGCATCCCCTCCTCCTTCCAGCTGTAACCTCTGGACAGAGCGGTTGGCCAGGCAGGGAGAACCAGCAGAGGATGCAAGCTAGAACCCAAAGGCTCATCACTCTCACACTTGCTTTAAATTTCTGTTTCTCTGAGACCTATTTCACAACCACATCTCCGTTGAGGAAATGCAACCGATCACATTTCAGGGTCCACCCATGCAACTCCAAATCATACCAATGAAAGTGCTTCCTAAAGCCACCAGGAACCTTTGCCACACCCCTTGTGCCCTTGATTACTGTCAGAAACCCTGTGGCCCCCATCTCACAATCAAGAAGAAGTAGTATAAGCAGAGCAAAGGCTGCAGCTTCAAGGACTTCCCCTGTTTTCCAGGACTGATAAGACAGCTGATAAGATCATTGCTTCCTAAGCCAGGGGCTAGGCAGATCTTGAAATATATATCAACACTGATAAAGATACAAAAATAACAGGAACAAGAAAAATATAAAAACAGTTTTAGCAAAACTTCATCCTATAATCTTACAATCTCAAAAACCTGAAAAGCTGCAACACAATTTTAAGAATTCAGCCAAAAGATAAATAATGCTTGTGCTCCCCCTGCTGATTCTGTCCTCAACACACAGAATCAATGCCCGCATCAACAAAGTTTTTGAATAACCATGTAAGGCTTCATTTGTTTCAAACATTGACTTCATACACAAAGGTGACACTGTATTTAGTCACAATGAGAGTGAGAAAACATTTGCGAGAAGTAAAAAACCAGAGCTGAGAGTTGTTTTCACCTGAATAAAAATAAGAGTTTGGGAAATACTTATCCTAAACCAAGTGTTGTGAAAGGTACATAAAAGATAATAAAGAGACATACCTAAACGAAGGAAAGAAGTCAACAAAGCTTGCTCTGAATACATATTAAAATCCAAAAGACACAATAATCTCAACACACCAGTAATCTGCACACAAACCTCACAAACAAGATTTGAGCACAACTCTTTGTAAATTACTTTGTCAGGCTGGAGAAAATAGGTATTTGCACAGACAGCTAGATTATCTGTGCTCAAATAATATCCTAACCTAACCTTAGAATGCCTTTGGGAAAAATCTACATATTGTAATTTTCTTAGGATTTTGTTGGCAAGTCAAGCCTACCTACAAAGATAAACCTGAACATTTAGATTCCTGCCTTCCTTCTAAACCTCTCTTCCCACTGTCCCACAAAGACAGTGAATTGTTGTGTTAGAAAGGGTTATCTGTCTCTTGAAACATGTTGGACATTTCCTCTATGAAAATACTTAAAGAGTACAACACAAAAACTACATATTATTTCATTTTAATAAACCAAAGTAGTTGACCACTATTAATACATTCTGATTAATTTAAAAATAAAGCATAAAATACCCAACTGAATTCATGTATTTACATCCTAGACATATGGATACTGAATATTCATCCCTGCAGTATGCAGAAGTCATTCCTCTCTCAGCAAGCACATAAATGCAGCCTCTTTGTAAATCCATTCAGATCAAAATGCATTCACAGTCCCCCAGTACACAGTGATTAAAGACTCTCTTAAGAGCTACCTTACTGTGTCCAGCTTCAGAAAAAGAGATGCCAGTAGACAGGCAGGCTGAATCAAAGTAAATTGTAAGCAGATATCAGAAAAAAACCTGCTGGCACTCAGGTAATAATTGAGTAACAAGCAGCAATATCCCAAATAAAAATTTAAAAACACCATCACCTGGTTAAGAGGATCTGTTCCCTTTCCTAATAAAAATACATAATAAATACGAAATAATAAAACTACCCGATGTTATTCCTCAGGTATAACACACGATGGCAGCAAACACCAAGTTTTAGCCTTACCTGCACAGGCTGTTCACTTCCTGTTCTAAAATCTTCGAGCTGCTGCACATGCCAGGCAGCCATGCAGTAGGGCTCCTCAGCAGTCCTGCAGTCCAGGGGATTTGCACGTAACTGTTCTTTAAGCCACATCTGAGTCCTCACTGCCGGCTGTATGGGAGCTCCACTCACAGCCTGCTGTCCCAGAGTTGCATATCTCTGTCCAAAAGCTTCACAACTGGCTGCCACAGGTTTGCTTTCAGGTAAGGCACTGTAGGTCAAATCTAAGGCATGTCTCCTATTTGAGGAATCTGAACCAAAATCATCTTTGCTGCATGTTTCAAATTTGTATTTGCAGTCCAGTACAGAAGATCGCTTTTTCCCCGTTTCTTTGTCCTCAATTTTTAGCAACTCCATGCTATCATGCAAACAGCTTGGCCCATTTGTCCTCAATTGTGGTGACACAGCTTTGTCTGTACTACCCCTGGAATCCACCGAATTACTACTACCATCTTGGCTGAAGGTGTTGGGGGAGCTGAGCTTAGACAAAGAGGACCATTTTCTTACAGGTCTTGCATCTTTCATGTCAAGAGAATTGTCCAGGGCACCTCTATTTCTGCCTCCTCCTGACCGTACAAAGCTTGTACTCCATTTTGAGCCATCAGACTTGAAAGCTTCCCTGTGTTTGCAAAGTGAAGAGCTGGCATTAGACGGCATCACATGGGCAGTGGGAATTGAAGCCAGTGATTGGCTGGGCTTAAACGAGGATGTGCCACTTGACGTTGAATGATCTGGGAAGAGAGATTTATCAGGTAAATAAGTACAACACAGAACTCACAGTAACACCAGTGCTCAGAGGGCAAATCATCATACTCAAATTGAAATGCAAAAATAGGAGACAAATTTCTTGACAAAATAGGGTCTTCTGAACCACTGAAGATTATGAGAACAGAAACCTATAAAAGTAGATTTTCTAATTAATTCTGCTCAGGCACCATCACTATAAGAGAACCGTACTAAGCAGCTCCAGACACAGTTCTTTAGCTGTGGGCATTTGTTTCCAAGCTGTAAGGTGGCAGGCTGGATTTCTCCCCCACTCCACATAATTTTAGCTTCTATATCACAAATAGTACATGTATCACAATTCAGGAGCTCCAAGACTGGTTTCCTCTTCCATCACCTCCTCTCCTCATTCTCTAAAGGCAAAGCAATTCACTAAATGCATTTTGTAAAATGGCAGTGCTGGAGATGAGCCATTTTAATGATGGCCTCTTAGAATCATTCATCCATTCATCCCTTTTGTATTTCACCAATTTCAAACTACACTTCACCAGGCAATTTATTAAGATTCTGAAAAACGTTCTATGTTCAATTTAGACTTTGTGTTATTTACAAACCCAAATACAATACTACACAGAAACTGCATGTAGCATAGTTTATTAAATCTATCCCAAGTCAAAACACCAAGAACAATCAGTGAGGTGATATTCAGAAGGGGACAGGAGATCAAAGATGAGAGAGGTAAATCAGAGGTTACTGGAAACTGGCTGAGAGCTCTCACATGCCCAGAGACATGTGCTTAGTTAGCATCACAAGCTGTGTGCAACCAGAAATAAAACACTTAATCCTCTCATTAGAGGATCAGCTCCCACCAAGTCACTTCGCTGCACCTTAGCAAGCTCATATTGCTTGTTAGGTTCATGGCAGACAGACAGAATGAAATTGCTCTAATTAAAAGACTCTTTTGGTGTCCTTTTTGCCAGAAGCAAAACAGATATGCTCTTTTTATTTCTCACATACTAACTACCTAGGGAGAACTCATTTCTTTGGGATTTGTGAACTAGTAGAAGAGTTCATAGTGGGACAACTAAAAAGAAAAAAAATAATCAAATGCTCTAGAAGTGTAACTGACATAACCTAGTGTAACCAAACTGGATAATGTGATATGGTGAAGGCCAGAACATGTTATTACCTGGGCAAACTTTAAAAAGTCATAATTTCACTCAATATACCATGCTACAGATAGAAAAAAGAAGAGAGCTTCTAATTGTGCAGCGCTTGTTAAGTGGCAGCACTACTTCCTTTTCTATGCATCCAGATAAAGATAACCTTATCCCAAACTTGCTTACTCTTCCCTGTTTGGGACTGGACTTCCTCACTCCTTGCACTTGCAGCACAACACAAAAGAATACAGCCCTACTGCCACACTCCTTGTAAGAAAAAAACACTACAGCCCACAAAATAAACAGTTCCTTTACTTATACCTGTTTATTATGTACCTGTTTTCCAGCTCTCAAAGGAGGCAGGGCTCCTAGGAAAGTGGAAATTCTTACTGAAGCCTTCTTGTCTCCTCATGGGTCATTGCCTCATCATACAACCTCCACTTTCAAAGCATAAACTCACACCACATTATCTCCTGCATCCACCCAGCCACCTGCATTCACAGTAGTTACAGAACACAGCTATCTTTAATACTTGACAACACTGTCAGAGCTGGCCAAAATGGCCAACAGCTTAGGAGTTACTCATAGGGTGCTGATGATGCCTATAAAACACACAGGATCCTCACAACAGAGAAAGTTAAATGGAAAGAGGAACTACCAGCTTGTTACCTGATGGCTCACGTTGCTAATAAATGTGAGGTACAGTTTATTACATGCAAGATCAAAGACCTTTCCTCCTCCTTGCATTTCTTCCTTAAAAACTCTACACTGCAGAAACGTTTTCCTTTCCTTTTTTCTCCTCTGTATTGACATTAAGAGGCAAGACATGTCAGAGAAAGACCGAAGGCCAAACAACCCATTTCAAGTGGAAGGTACCAGTCATCTGGCTGAACGTGTTTGTGCCCACAGCTATTGCAGCAGTAGAGACAGTGATATGCAACACTGCAAGTTCCCAAAATTGCAATATGCCCAGATGTAACCAATCTGACTGTGCCAGGTGCAGTATCAGATTCTTTCAGCTCTGCTTTCCCATTTTCCCCTCGTAGCACAGTATACAGTCACTACAAATCAGGCACATCTTGCTACTCTGTATAGTGAGGGCTGCCAGCTTCCAGCCCTGCTGATCAATAGGAAAAAAGCTGCTTGGTAATCTCTGGCTGAGGACATCAAAGCAGTGACTAAAAGGTGGCAGAGGTATATGACATGATGGAGCTGGACTCTTGAACATATGCACTATGAGATGGAAAGAAAAGGGTTCCTGGGAATATCCAGAAGAGCAGAGAGAGACTACTGCTCTCCTTCTACTGTCCTAGGGAAAACAGGGAGAAAAACACACAGTAGAAAGAAATGCACTTCCTCTTGTACAGGTACTCCTCAGCCAGAAGCTGCTGCCTTTGTAGCACTCAAGCAAACTAACTTTTGTACTGTACCTTATCCAGAAGCTTAATCTGACGCTATGCAGACTTCTATGAGCAGAAACATCACATCTTCAAGAGAGATGCAAGAAAAGAAACCATATCTGTATGCATAAATCTGTAAAAGTTATACAGTTCCATACCAAAAAGATTGCTCATATTTAATACAGCAATTGCAGTCTGAAATACTGACTTAAATGTCACCTGCATGTAGTCTTTAAACCAGAATTAAAAGAAAATTATATTATCTCCTTCCACTTGCTTTTATTAGAGAACTGAGTTATTTGGATGTGGTAATTGCTCTTAAATACAGCAATTGCAGTCTGAAATACTGACTTAATGTCACCTGCATGTAGTCTTTAAACCAGAATTAAAAGAAAATTATATTATCTCCTTCCACTTGCTTTTATTAGAGAACTGAGTTATTTGGATGTGGTAGTTTGTTGTTGTTTTCCTTGTTCTACTCTTAAGTTTAAGCTCTGAGTCAGTTCTAAACTTCTTTTCCTCACTTGTGGTTCTAAACTCCTCAAGTAGATTTAAACTTGGAATGCCACGTACATCCAATTACAGCTAATAAATGTCTCTGATAATTTGCCTCAAAAGTGAAATTCATAAATTTTGGCTTCAATTTGTCCTAATTAGTCTTCCCATTAACACTCACTGAAACATATGAGAAAATTCACACTTCTTGGAGCATATTGCTTCAGTCTGCCTTGACTGCAGGCTCAGCTGGAAACAGAGCCAGTCTCCATTCTGAAACATCTCACAACATAAAAAGCCTGAAATCAAGAAATGTCATTGAAAATAAGAGATAACCCAGAAAGCAACATAGAACTGGAGACATTACTTCTTCCACAGTCACAGAAGTAAGCTACACCTAGCCAAATCCTGCCAAAGACTACTTTATCCAAACAGAATAATTTTCCCTTCTATGTAGATGGGGCTAAGCAAATGCCTAGTTCAGAACTAAAAGCTCTGTGTTCTCAGCATTACTCATGTTTTCACTTCATTGAGCAAGTATTTATTTGAAGATTTCAAAAACTTTTAAACATGGCTTGTGTCTCTCCAGAGTCTTTCAATGCTTAAGAATGTTCTCATTAAATGAAATTTAGAGACAGGGCATTAAAAAAAAAAATACAGATAGTTGCTACTGGCTTTCCTTTTATGAGCTTCAAGATCGTAAGTTAAATTTTGCTTTTCAGTTATCTTAAGAACCTTTTTTTGTACCCACCAGAAAGCTCCTTAGAGGACTTATCTAATAGCCGTAACATTTTAATATTTGATCTAGTAGTTCCCAAACCATGTAAGAGATTTGAAAAGACTGTATTTTAAAAACACACAACAGTATTTCCACCACGTAACTGCAACAGACTGAGCAGAAAATGAATAGTGTTTCATTTGACTGTCTTACTATCTTGTGTTACACTTCTAAATTATTTTGTTACTGCGCATCTGGTGTTGAAAATAATGTAACAAGCAATATTGGTCTTACCATAATTCTCACAGAAATTTTGTTTAAATGGGAGACAGGACAGCAGAGACTTTCTTCTGAAGAGGGGGGAGAAGAAAGAAACCTTCCAACATAAATTTAATTAACAACTCCTACTCAGTTACATTTTCTTACGACATGTTCTTTAAATCACTAGTGCCAACTGTGTTCATCATAACTAGAAGAAAATCTCTGAAGCCATTTCTGAGTCCAAATCCACAACACAGTTGTTTGTTCCAGGAGAAGTCAAGCCTCTATTACAAAATTGAAGGTCTTGAATCTGGCTACAGTTTAGTGTACAAGGATTCTTACATTCATTACGGGATGTTGGTTCTTCTAAGTGCTTCGCTGAACTGTTCCGTTACTCTTAACTGCATGACTCTAGCCACAAGTGACAAGCAATGCCAGGATGAAACACAGATTACTGAAGGGGCCACAAGTCTTCATTCTACCATACAAGCATGTGGCTGCCACCCAGAAATCCCCAATCTGCTGCTTTCAACAACAGAAATATCTAACTCTCCTGGAAGTTAGTTGAAAAACAAAGATCATGGAACGGTGTGCCATGATAGCAGCTTTTACTCCCCACATTACCCCTACCTAGCTACTTAAAAAAATCAGACCTCATTTTCATGGAGCATAGATAACCAGATAAGCCAACTAAGAAATTTTGAAATGGACAGGAAGGAGACCAACCCAAGCAAAAAGCCTGAAGAGCATGACTCATCAACCTCTGGAAGCAAATGCATGCCTTTTCAGGGTGCAGTAGCAGTCACAGGAACAGTTTGGGTTTGGTTAGTTTGTTTTGGTTGGGTTTGTTTGGGTTTTTTTACTATCGAAAAATCTTTACTATTCTCTTTACAAGCCCTGTTCATGTTATTTCAAGCTTATTCTACTTATTCACCTCATATTTTGACAGACTAAATCTCTGCAAATAAATTTCT